TAGCGATATATTCTGCTGTCTTTCTGTCACCTGAATCTTTTTTGAAGTTTGAGTTAACTTTTTCAATTAACGTAATAAGTTCCTGTTGTTTGGCGATAATAGCCTCCATTGTAGTCAATGATCAGTTAAAAATAATAATATGGAACAGTCTTACTTGTGTATGCTGCTGTCACTGCGGCTGCTGATACCTTGGCGATGCTGATTACCGTAGCTGGTTGCACGCTCCGTCCCGTGGTGTCGACGTGCTCGACGACTGCAGACGTGGTATGCCGCTCTGATGTCAATGTCATGCGCCTCGCAACTGATGGCGAAGCTACCCTGCTTGTCACGATGTATTCAACCCCTCTCCCGAAGGATTGCACACTCAAAATGTCAAATTGTCAAATGCACTGTATAGTACACGTGTCACTGGTATACTTTACTAAGCCACGTACACGAGTCACTCCCGTAACGCAAAGTTCAGCAAAGTATTCTATCGCCGAAATGTCCCGAATTTGAACTCCTCGCGCGATAGATCAAACTCTCGAAGGACCAATGTAAGATGTGGTGTCAAAGTAAGACTGATGTCAAGATGTCAGACAACTACGCCGTATCAACCGCTGATGGGATTTATTGAAAGACGTGTTTTAGCTGCCGAATGCTTTATTGCACTGATTATAAAAATGTTAGAACTACCAAAGTCCCAAATGTAGGTCAGGCGTAGCTGGCCAAAGTGCATGAAGAAAATGCAAGTTAACAATAAATTACTTAGTAATAAAAATGTGCGTTGACTCGTACAGAACAATAATATTTATAACATTTCATACATTGCCTACGCGCCCCAGGCATTTTACACATTAACTAGAGATTGTACAGAATTCCTAAATTATACAAATTGCCGGTAACATTTATAATGCGTGTAAGTGTGTGCGTAATGTATGTACTGAGCATGTTTATTTTAAAGTTACGCCAAGTCCATGAGATTATAGTACGTCAGTGTACGCAATAGATCTATCTCACATGTAAGAACAAAGAGTGAGCGAATGGAAAGAACGGTGGATGTCTCAGATTAAGTGTTAGGGTGGATGTGCTTATTATTACGTTTCGTTTATATCATCAACGAGAAAATTTATTTTTCCAAGGTAATCCTGAAGTAGCCTAAATAGCCCGATCTTTTTTTCTAGGTAGCCTAAATGGCTACCGGTAGCCGTTTGCATTTTTTGGTCGCCATTTGACCCCCAGAGGTAGCCTAAATGGCGATAATTCGCCTAATCTGGCACCACTGTTACAAATTACGAATCTTGTGTACATTATAATCATATTTTTTTTTTATTTTTTTTTTTGTTTAATGGCAACCAAACCTCTCTGGGAGGTTTATTTCTGCCAATGTCGAGTGAAAATTGACATAGTTATCAATAGAACGTGGGTGTTTCAGTTCTATTGATGTTTCATGGATTCCGTGGAGTTAAGTATGCCCGAAAGCAGGTTTCAAGACGCCACCGGGTCCAAAGCGGGTTGTTCATACGACAACCCACTCGACACTCGATGCGCGCTCAAATTCGAAGTATTTCAATGTTTTTTATAATTTATCACTTCACTGCACTTTAGAACACAAAATAACACCAAATTTGTACACTAAAGTCCATTAAATAATAAATTGAAACCATTAAAACAGATCGACCATGCTTCCCGTTCAACTACCCTCCACGGAATCAATCATAATCTTATGCATCATCAATATATTATTATTATCTCTGATAGATTTTTTTTAACATACAACCTGACACTGACTTGCAATCAATGTAAGAAAATTTGAATTTCGCAGTTCCACATTTTTGGGAAGGATCAAATTTGCCCATGAAAATATATCCCATTAAAACACAATTATTATGATAAATTATTTTATTTCCATAGTATGCGTAATACATGACTAAAAAGTCCTAAAATCATTATTAATTTCCCATATTTCGGGTAATTTTCCCACGTAGGGGAGAGTTCGGTATATTGTACCGCCGGGTAAATTGTACCACCCTCATATTTCGTAAAGTATTTATTGAATGTCTATAATTGCAACACTCAGCGATACACAACTAAAATCAATTAATATCGGCCATGTGTTTTTTGCCGTGACAACAAACACGTGTGTTTTATTTTGAAAAGTATTTTTTCATTGTTTTCAAGTAACTTTTGACAATACATGTTTAGTTTGTAATTTTGTTAAATTTAATCACAGGGTGTTTCTAATATATTATTTAGAAGCATAAATTAGTGTGGATTACAATTATTTGAAACATTTTTCGGTATTTATAAGCTATATTTTTTACCGATTTTTTAAAAGCACTATCACCTAGTCGGCTAAATTGTACCACATCAAGTTGTATGGAACTTTACCAAAGGATTTTGAATAATCTTATGCATCATCAATATATTATTATTATCTCTGATAGATTTTTTTTAACATACAACCTGACACTGACTTGCAATCAATGTAAGAAAATTTGAATTTCGCAGTTCCACATTTTTGGGAAGGATCAAATTTGCCCATGAAAATATATCCCATTAAAACACAATTATTATGATAAATTATTTTATTTCCATAGTATGCGTAATACATGACTAAAAAGTCCTAAAATCATTATTAATTTCCCATATTTCGGGTAATTTTCCCACGTAGGGGAGAGTTCGGTATATTGTACCGCCGGGTAAATTGTACCACCCTCATATTTCGTAAAGTATTTATTGAATGTCTATAATTGCAACACTCAGCGATACACAACTAAAATCAATTAATATCGGCCATGTGTTTTTTGCCGTGACAACAAACACGTGTGTTTTATTTTGAAAAGTATTTTTTCATTGTTTTCAAGTAACTTTTGACAATACATGTTTAGTTTGTAATTTTGTTAAATTTAATCACAGGGTGTTTCTAATATATTATTTAGAAGCGTAAATTAGTGTGGATTACAATTATTTGAAACNCAATCATATTACGGGAGATATTTTTAGTACAAAGGTTACGGCTGTGACCGTTTTAGTTGTTTTTTTCAGACAGCACCAGCTTCTGCACTACTTCTTGCACTTACATCTCACCATTTCCAGGCAAGCCTCGGCAGCTACGGGCAAACCGGTCCATGTAGGCTCCATCTTGCTATCGACTCCGGTCCACCCCCAACCAGTCGGGTAAAGGGAAGACTCGAGTCGGTTGCTTGCACCTGATCCTATACACGAATCCCTTGATATACTGCCAGTAACCAAGGCTGATACAAAGCTGCTGCTGCTGTCTGGGTTATCTTATGTAGGGCCTAAGCTAAGCTAGGTCTAAGCGTAGTCTACAGCGACCCATTAGGATCTTTATGCTCCATTTTTTATTCCCTATCATCCAAAAAAATCCTATCCATTAGGTGAATTAAGCGTCTGAGTGAAAGCCTTCTAAGTCTTCTGATGCCGGATATGCTGACCCAAGCAGACCCAACCTTACAGTATTGATTCATGGACCCCACATGTATTNTAATTTAAATAATTAATTTCTCAGCTATTTCTTGATGGATTTCTAAAATAACTTCACCGGCTTTTTAGTTTTGGTCTATATTTTAATCCCATTCAGTGAAATCTAACGTTTTCAACATCACGAAACTTGTCCACTATGTACAGTTTGGAGTTTTGGACTGCTAGAATATGTTTGACAAACGCCGAGGTGAGGTGTATTTTATTCTGGGAGTACGTTGCTAACACGCGTTTCTACATAATATAGTTGAAAATGCGCGTTAAGCGCTATCTGAACGTGGCCCTAGAAAATAATTTCCTTCACAATTTGCATTCCGTGATTTTTTTTATATTTTAATAATTATTCTCTACTAGGTTTTTAATGTACAAAAAGTCTTTATCGCGCACATATCCCCGTTCTAAAAACCAGGGTAAAAACTATCATATCCTTACATCTAAATCGGTTCAGGGCTTGTCAAATATGTCAAAACTTGTCGTTTTGACATATTTCCCGTGCTGAAACTGTTAATTTGCCAAACTTATTCTTCAGTTAAAAGTTATCCGATGATGGTAAAATCAGCACTCTGTGGTACAAGCGTTAAAAAGTAACACACACAGCTATTTCTGAATTTATAATGTGAGTACGGATTCAGGTTAGAATCTAACAAATCAGAGATCAAAGGTAAAGCCATTAAGGGAATAGTAATAATCTTGAACAATTTTCACACACCACAACAATACCCAACGCATTCATTCTAATGGATACGTATAATTGCATCTCATCTGAATGGCTATTAATCAACGTTACTTAATCTTAATAATTTATCGTAGTTAAATACATTCGTGACCGGTTTCCATCCCACTTGACGGTTGCAGAAAACATTGAAGTGATGAATTATTTTTTGTTATTATCTTAATTTGTGCCATTATTCGATCAATCTCTGGTTTTGTTTATACTTGAGTAACTCAACTAAATAACCTACATCTAGAAAACAAAACTATTATATTGAGTTGAAATCGCAACCAACGCGTAGTACAGTCAGCGTCAAATTGTTCGTGACACCCGAAGTGGCCAAAAAGTTGACACAACCCTTTTCCAATTGTAACAAAGACGTGTTGCGAACTTTTTGGCTTCTTATGGTGTCGCGAACTATTTGACGCCGATTGTACCTATCTCGATAAAATGATGTTTTTTTTATCCACAACGAGGAAGCTTTTGGCCTGTATCTCACCTAATGGTAAGTGATGATCAGGCCGAAGGTGGAAGCGAGCTTCACCCGGAATCCTCAACCACGGAGGAACTGGCTATCTTACCTTTAACTGCCGGACCACAACAATGCTGTTAACATTGTTGTTATGGCGACAGACTTAGGTAAGATGGTGGTAGCTAGCTAGGCGGACTTAGAAAAAGTCCTACCAACAACAATTTAAAAAAAAAACGCCGCATCTCTTTCTTTTTAGGAAATAGCGTAATGGTTATATTGTTTCTACAAAATGTTCATGTAAAAGGCTGTTTTGACAGTCATATTAAAGTCTTTTAATTTACAAGCAATATGTTACCCTTAACGCTACCACAGTCATACTACAAGCCAGAGAGCACGGTGACGGAGAAGTTTCTAGACGACCAGTGCAAGGAGGCCGACGAGGAGTCTGCCAGGCTGCCGGCCTGTGAGGACAAGGATGACGACCGCGAGGACTTGGAGGAGCAGCCTATTTTGGAGACAGACAGGATGATTGTCATGGGTAAGTGTGCTCTGTAATCTACAGCTTCTGAAAAGACCCACTTACACTATGCGCGAAATTGATCGAATCAGGGGGCTTAGTGTGACTTTACATCAAACTTCTTCACTAGTGAGCGCGTTACAAAAATATTTTTTATTATTATATAAAATATTATTTAGTTTATTTTGAGAAAGGACACCAAAAGTGGTCCAAATGTCTACCACTAATGAGACCTATATTGACTTATAGCACGGCAATACTGTCTATACAGTATTCCAACTCGGCCATATTTTTGAAATAAATGTCAAAAGCCCCGCGGGACGTCACGGTATGACAACATGCGATAGGGCTGCTCACCTACAGTACCCATTCTAATTACATCTGTCTACTTAGAATTTCTATCTAGTTTTGTGATTGTATTTTTTTTATTTAGACAAACAAAATACTTTGTGAATGGAATAGGATAAAATGCGTGTTGTTTTGTGATTAAGTAGTAGATTTAATTAAAAAAAAATAATATACTAAAATAATTTTGAATCTACTAATCACAATGAGTACTTAATGACCTGTTACTTTAATTTCAGCGGGCGAAATCGTTGGCAAAAGCTGGTTTTATACAATATACTGGGTGTTAGGTAAATGGGTATATGAGCCGACTCTAGCCCATGTTAACATGGTCATATAAATGGTATGGTGAAGTCAGACAATGTTAACATGGGCTAGTGTCGGCTCATATACCCATTTACCGAACACCCAAATATAATTTTCATTTCAAATCAAACTGACTGAAAATTACCATTTCTGACAGTTAATGACTATTTTTGACAAATTTGAACGTAAATGAAGGTCAGTCAAATTCAATCACCTTAGTCATTTTCAACACTAGGCCTTCGACGTCCGTTCAGCACATTCGCGACACCCCTAATTTTTTCATCTCGACCACGTCCCGAGATTTGAAATTCGAAGGAAAGCTCGCGTTTCGTCGGTTTATATGAAGTTACAATACTGTATGATATTATTACCGTGCTTATAGTCCATTAAATAGAAATTAACTTTCAGTATGGGACGAAAAAAAATAAGCTGTCAGTAAAAAGTTATGACTGTATGGAAAATTGTAGTCGTTGTAGTTGTAGCGGAGCGGCGCAACATTTCCGCCTCGTCACCGCTCCGCTTTGAAACCGCTTGCAATCCGCCAGTGTGGCAGCACACTAATGTAACAAAATTAATTCGCTTGTTCTAGAACAAAAGCTGCCCAAAAGGCCGGTTCTACATGTTGGTCCGCGGCCTGGCGCTGAAGTCCACTTACCAGTAGTCAGTCCCAGCGAGCAGCTGTCCAGCCAGAAGATCTGCTTCTCCTCCTACCTGGAGCGCATGTGCCCGCAGCGGCGGGACAAGGACGGCGTGTGTGAGTGCAGCGTGCTCTCTCTGTCTAGCGCTCGTGTGACGTCACCGGGGTCCACTCGCCAGTAGTCATCTGCTTCTCGTCCTACCTGGAGCGCATGTGCTCGCAGCGGCGGGACAAGGACGGCGTGTGTGAGTGCAGCGTGCTCTCTCTGTCTAGCGCTCGTGTGACGTCACCGGGGTCCACTCACCAGTAGTCAGTCCCAGCGAGCAGCTGTCCAGCCAGAAGATCTGCTTCTCCTCCTACCTGGAGCGCATGTGCTCGCAGCGGCGGGACAAGGACGGCGTGTGTGAGTGCAGCGTGCTCTCTCTGTCTAGCGCTCGTGTGACGTCACCGGGGTCCACTCGCCAGTAGTCAGTCCCAGCGAGCAGCTGTCCAGCCAGAAGATCTGCTTCTCCTGCCCAAGTTCAGTGGGATGTCTTTACTCTTTAAGCAAGACGATCGAATAGGTTTGCACTCCTCCTATAGGAGAAAAGAATCAATAATTTCTGGTTAATTTCTTTGTGGATCCAATTACTATACTTAACTTTTGAACAAACTTGGCATTCTACTTTAATGTAAAAAAATGTTATCAATCGAATTAACAAAAATCTCGTATCATAACGAAGTAATTTATTTATTCCAGCCAAAATCCGTACGCCAAAACGCCAACGCAAAGACAGCACTACCGACAAAGACAAGGAAATTGAGTTAAAAAAGTTTAAGTCTGAGGACGCTGACGTCAACAAACTAATGCACATCGACGAGACGGCCATAGACGGCATCGAACTCATGGCCAACTACAAGAACATTCTGGAAGACGAAGAGAAACCAAGCACGGAAGACGAAAAGGAATTAAAATCTGAAGAAACCGCTGACGAAGCTGAAACAGTCCTGGATAAAGATATAGCAGAAAGAGACAAAGATATAGATAGAGATAAGGAGATGTCGGAAAGGGATATGTTGGAAAGAGACAAAGATAGCTTCTCGGAAATGGAAGATGATGAAAAGTATGCGAAGAGTGACACGGATAACGAGAGCGATCAAGGGAAGAGTGATAAGGCGGGAAAAACTAAGTTTAAGAACTTGAAGGTAATTGGTATTTTTTTTCTTGACTTGAGTTGATAATTCTTTCATTCAAGTTAGCTTTGCTTTAAAATTAAATGAAAAAAAAAACAGCCATAACTTGTACTGGCGATTAAAATAATGCCTGCCACTCAAGTGTTTAGTAGTATCGGGTACGGACGGCGACATATCATTATAAACAATCTGGCAACTCATGTATCTATACTAATATTATAAATGCGAAAGTAACTCTGTCTGTCTTGCTTTTACGCCTAAACCACTGAACCGATTTTGATGAAATTTGGCATAGAGATAGTTTGAATCCCGGGAAAGGACATGGGATAGTTTTTATCCCGGTTTTTGAACAGGGATGAGCGCGATAAAGTTTTTCTGTGACAGACAAAATTCCACGCTGGCGAAGCTGCGGGCGGAAAGCTAGTTTGTAATAACTTTCATTTTGAATTATTTGTTTTTCACGACAGGTAAAATTCCGCATACGCCCAAAGAAACGTGGGGGCAGCATATACACGCTAGTCATAGAGAAAGACCAGGAGAATCAGGACAGCAAGATTGAGAAAGAGCAGGAGAATCAGGATACCAAGCCTGAAGAGCCCAAGCCAGAGGAGGAGCCGAAGCCGGCCATTGATGTGGACGCGGCGTTGCGTCAGATCCGGCGCGGCTGGAGCGCGCACGACGCGGGAGATCTTACCATCGGAGACCTTTACTTGATGGTGAGGACATTCTAGAACTTTTTCAGGTCAATAACTGGTCGTATGGTCCTGTGGTCTCTTCAATTCAACAGTACCATCATCCCGAAAGCGGAAACCCGCCCTGAATGAAGGTCTACATCTTAGTCGAGGCCACTTTTCTAAATTAGTTTAGGTCTCCGTGCGTTGGAAGACATCCCTGGTAAATAATCGTCGTTAGAAGACTAAAGCCCGGTCCGTGAGCACGTAGAATTTTGTCCAATGACCCCTAGCTACCCATCCTTATCGCTCGCGCGTAATTATATTGCTGTCGCGACTGTGCGACTGGCACCCGCAATGAGTGTGCGAGCGCGATAGCAACATAATTACGCGCGAGCGATAAGGATGGGTAGCTTGGGGTCATTGGTCAAAATTCTACGTGCTCACAGACCAGACTATAGTAGCCGATTGTATCGTGCGGGTAGTATTCTCGGTGGTCTTACACTTGTTGGTCATAGACCAAGATTGCCATATACACGCTGGTGATAGAGAAAAAGCAAGAGAACTTCCTGGTTCTCTAGTAAGCTCTCAGAGCCCAAGCCGGAGGAGGAACCGAAGCCGGCCATTGATGTGGACGCGGCGTTGCGTCAGATCCGGCGCGGCTGGAGCGCGCACGACGCGGGAGATCTCACCATCGGAGACCTTTACTTGATGGTGAGAACAGTTTCGAACATTCTAGAACGTTTTCACATCGACAGTGTTTTGGTCTTGGCAATTGACGACTCTTGGGTCAGATCCAGAAGACATCTTGGGTATGTAGTCTCTTAGGGTTAATACTTTTTTTTTTTTTTTTTTTNAAGATTATTAGTAATTTGTTATTACACAAATTACTAATACTCCCGTTAGCCCCTCGTACTAAGCTAAATATGCTTGTGTCACGAGTGAGCTCACCACAATAGTCGAGCGGCGGCGGGGACCGAACCCGCGTTCCCCGGATCACGAGTCGGCCAGTCCGACCCCTTCACCGTTCGGCTATCGTGGCTTAAAATACTGGGACGTGTAAGCGATTTTATAAAGGCCATTTGCAAAAATAAATGAGTCCTAAGAGTTCTTTTTAGATCCAAGGAGTCATCGTCATGGAAACTGACCGTTCGTTGGCACAGCGATAGTCCTTGATAGTCGGATCTCTTTTCTAAATTGGCTATCGTTTTTGTCTGCTCGAAAACCTAAAAGTGGTCGTTAGAGAGTTGCTTCCTCGTTCCACAAAGAAATTCTATATTTTCTTTGTCCGCTCGCTGACAATCGACATCAATATTATGCAGAGGTCAAGTGGTTTGTATGTGTATCATGCGGGTAGTATTCTCAGTGGTTTTATGCATGTTAGTCATAGACCAAGAGAGCCGTATAAACATTGGTGGTATGTAAGGAGCAAGACAACCCGGATACCAATCCTGAAGAGCCCAAGCCGGAGGAGGAGCCGAAGCCTGCCATTGATGTGGACGCGGCGTTGCGTCAGATCCGCCGTGGCTGGAGCTCGCACGACGCGGGAGATCTTACCATCGGAGACCTGTATTTGATGGTGAGAACATTCTAAAGCCCGGTCGCCGAGCACATAGAATTTCGTCCAATGACCCCAAGCTACCCATCCTTATCGCTCGCGCGTAATTATATTACTTACTGCGGCCGATAAGTATGTAGCTTGGGGTCATTGGAAGAAATTCTATCTGCTCGGCAACCGGACTTTAGAACTATTTTAGGTCAAAAAGAACTGTCCCTGTGGGCTCGGATTGGACGCTGTTCTAGTCCAAGAACAGTACTCGCTGTCCGAGCTTGTCCTCCAGCGCGGCCTCTCGTCCCAGGCGGGCGTCTTCGTGGCCGGGTCCCATCTCTCCATCGCGGTACTCCAGCACCTGACGAACGACCGCTGCACGGTGGCGTACATCCACGAGGCCGATTTATACGTCGTTTCAGCGTATTTCAAATACGGCGAGGAGATCGACCCGCACATCCACCATCTTGAGCGGGTCTTCGACGCGTTAGCGGGAAAACGCATCATCGTGGGAGCTGACGCCAATGCCCACTCACCGTTGTGGCACAGCAGGCCGGACCAAACCACTGGGCGAGGCAGAGTGGCTGACCATCGTAGGTCGTCGGTTGAGGACTTCATCTTGGGACACGACCTCGTCGTAGTCAACACCCCAGACCAACCGGCGACCTTCAGCACTGCAAACGGGGAATCAAGCGTGGACATAACACTTTCCACCAGGAATGTCTCAGTCACGGACTGGAAAGTCCATGTGGGGGCCAGCACTAGTGACCATCGCCTTATCACAAGTTTCCACCATGGGGTGTCCGCAGGGTTCTGTGCTTGGACCAACGTTGTGGAACGTTCTGTTGGATGACCTGTTGAGATCGCCGATGCCGGAGGGGGTGAGCATGGTGGCGTACGCCGATGACGTCACCATTTTGATTGAGGCGCAATCGAGAGCCAGCATCGAGTCGAAGGCCACAGAGGCCCTTAATATCGCGTCCGATTGGGGAGCCCGGAACCGACTGGGATTCTCTCCTGCCAAGTCGTCCATGATGACAATCAGGGGGAAATTCCAGAGGCCCCCAATCATCAAACTTGATGGCGCCTCGATCCGACAGGTGAGCTCAGGAACAGTGCTCGGCGTGGTGATCGATTCGGGTCTTCTGTTCACGCAGCATGCACAGGACATTGTAGAGCGCGCAGCCAAATGCTTCGGGAAGGTTTCGCGTGTGTCTGCGTCCTCCTGGGGCATTCGATACCCCGGTCTGCGCATTCTCTACCAGGGAACGTTCGTTGCCACGCTTGTGTATGCTGCGGCGTGTTGGTTTGAGCGGGTCAAAGTCCAGTCGGTGGGCGGGATTGTCCTGAGGGGGCAGAGGCCGGCACTCGTGCTGCTGACGAAGGCCTACCGGTCTGTCAGCACGGCCGCGCTCCCGGTCTTGGCCGGAGTGTTGCCCGCCGACCTCGAGGTGGAGTATGCTGGACGGACGGCTGTACTGAGGACGCGCCAGCTCGCGACCCTGGACGAGATGAGCAGTCGAAAACGCGATATACGGGATTCGGTGATCGTATTTTGGCAGCAGCGTTGGGAGCAGGAGACCAAAGGTCGTGAGCTCTATCAGTTCTTCCCGGAGGTGGCTGGTAGGCTCAGCATGCGCTGGGTCCAACCGGACTATGTGACCTCGCAGATACTCACTGGACACGGGTGCTTCAATAAAAGGCTGAGCGACATGAAGCTGCGAGAGGGGAGTATGTGTGAGTGCGGCGAGAGTGAGGAGGACAGGCACCACGTTCTGTGGTACTGTCCCCTGTATGAAGACCTGCGGTGTGAGATGCTGAGTGGGATAGCGCTCTCGGAGGGCTACGGTCCTGCGTGGTACCCCGATCTAGTCAGCTCGGAGGCGAACTTCGCGCGGCTGCGAGGTTTCGCGCACGCGTGGCATCGGAGGCGGAACGGACAGACGCCTAGCGGCCAGGCACCGGATGGTGCCAACGTGTCAGTAGAGTCCATGCCCCAGAAGGGGGAGAGTGGCAAGGGACAAATGGACAAAGATTAAAGAACTTGTAGAGAGTCAAGAATTGCGCGCGGTGGAGTGCAATCTGCCGTAGGCAGCCGCAATTCCGCGCGCATCTCTCAAGATTCGGCCACAATAACCGCGAGGTTGGTATGGCCATGGGTGGTGGTGGGATTTGTCCCTGTGGGCTCTTCAATTCGATAGAATCATCATCCTAGTCGAGGCCACTTTTCTAAATTAGTTTAGGTCTCCGTGTGTTGGGAGACACCCTTGGTAAATAATCTTCGTTAGAAGACTAGTAGCAGATTGTATCGTGCGGGTAGTATTCTCGGTGGTCTTACACTTGTTGTTCATAGACCAAGATCGCCATATTGACGCTGGTGATAGAGAAAGAGCAAGAGAACCTCCTGGTTCTCTAGTAAGCTCTCGGAGCCCAAGCCAGAGGAGGAGCCGAAGAGAACAGTTTCAGTGCCGTCCTCTGTTAAACATGGTCTGCCCATCTATGGCACAGAGATAGGAGTCAGAAAATCCATACTCTATGCGATTGATAGACGCTGTAGCGTCTTTTGTTCTATAGGGTCGTGTTCATGGTAACACAGATTTGAGACACTTCTGGGCTATGGCGTCTTTAAATCTACATGGTCACTGTCATTTTTGGACTTATAATTTTATTGTAATCAATGTGACAAAACATGTAAGCGCTTTGGGTTTTCTGTAAGCTTATTATGTTGCACATTAAATAAATAAATAGAAAGAAATTGACCGTTAGATGGCAGAGTGGCTGTCCTTGAATGAACTGGGTCTTGTCTTGTTTCCTTTTTGGGTGTCTTTCATTTTCTAAATAGGTTTAGGTTTATGTGCGTTAGTAGATATCCTTACACTAGGCAAAAATGTAGTTTGATAGTTGATGCCTAGTGACACAAAGGTTTCTCTTTCAGTTCGGATCCCGTTCCAAGCTAGAACTGGACTACTGGTGGGCGGAGCCTACGCCCCCGTTGCCACAGCCTCAGAAGGCTAGCAAGCCCGACCAGCCGCCGAGCAAGCCCGACTTAGACCGACAGCCTGACAGGAAGGCAGAGGGTTCAGTGGAGGAGAGTGACACAGATATATTTTCGCCGAAGCACGCGTTCAGCCATGATAGCAATGATGCGCTGTCTGGCGATGAGAGGAAAGGTGAGAACTTTATTGCACATGAAATAAGGTACAAAAGGAAGTTAGAAGTTAATCTTTAGAGCGCTTTCACATCTTTTGCGACAAACGCGCGACAGACGCGCTGCCGAAAATTTCATACTATGTGACAACTGATGCCTCCCTTCACGTTATAAAAACGCCGCTGCCGCGCTGCTGTCGCGCTACTAACGCCCTAATGTGAAAGCGCTCTTAGGCCAAGCAGAAAATAGAGTAGGCGGAGCTCAAGGTTTCATTTTTGTCGGATTTAAAATCGGTATAAAACTCTTATGGCGGTTTTGATCCTTATCTACAAGGAATTGACGCTGAATGTAGGCCATGCTGTGGATAGTACCAGCCGTATGCTTCCCCCATAGTAGAATAAGACCATCCTTAGTATTCCCATGGATGTCGTAAGAGACGACTAACTAATGCAATGATGTTCGCTGCCCGATTGGTCTAACCAGCGTAGAGGGTGCAGACTAAATCTTATGTTTCGTTCGTTCGCCTCAACTTAATGTAATCTGCTCGTGCGTTGCTGGAGAAAGCTCGGATTCCCCACAGATTCCACAACGACCGGTCCCGATCTGCCCGCATCCAGGTGCTCCCCGCCGTCCTCCATTTGTATCTGAGAAATAATAAAAAGATGATGATGGCAAATAATCCGAAATGAGGAGATCCTTAAACGAACTAAAGTCGCTAACATACCCCGACGGATTAGCAAGCTGAAGTGGCAATGGGCAGGGCACATAGTACGCAGAACTGACGGCCGATGGGGCAGCAAGGTTCTGGAGTTGAGGCCGTGTACCGGAAAACGCAGCGTGGGAAGTCCACCCACAAGGTGGACCGACGACATCATAAAGGTAGCAGGAAGGCGCTGGACGCAGGCCCCTACCAACCGGGCATCATGGAAAGCATTGAGGGAGGCCTATGTTCAGCAGTGGACGTCCTATGGCTGAGATGATGATGATGATGGCAAATAAAAAGACGGCACATCACACTGTACTTTAACACTGTGGCACGGTAATAATATCATACAGTATTGTAACTTCATATAAACAGACGAAACGAGAAATTTATTTCGAAATTCAAATCTCGGTATGCGCTCGGTATGCAAAAGTCGGGGGTGTCGCGAATGTGCCGAATGGACGTCGGTGGCCAAGTGTTAAAAATGACAAAACTGATTGAATTTGAGTGACCGTCATTTACGGTCAAATTGTTCAAAAACTAGTCAAATTGTCATTTTCAGTCAGTTTGATTTGAAATGAAAATTATATTGTATTAAACCTGCTTTTTTTTGCCCACGACTTCGCTCGCCCGAAATTAACGTAACAGATCATTATGATTATTAAAGTTTCAAAATTATTTAAGTAATTTTAAATAAATTAAATCTACTAATCACAAAACAACACACATTTTTAACCTATTCCATTCACAAAGTATTTTGTTTGTCTAACTAAATAAAAAAATACAATCACAAAACAAGATAGAAATTCTAAGTAGGCAGATGTAATTAAACTGGGTAGTACTGTAGGTGGGCAGCCCTATCGCATGTTGTCATACTGTGACGTACCGCGCGACTGTTGACATTTATTTTAAAAATATGGCCGAGTTGGAATACTGTATAGATAGTATTACCGTGACTGTGGCATCTTATGTAGTTGTAATAAGTACGAATTTGCATTTCTTGTTGTGTCCAGGAGAGCAGCTGGCATCGCCGGAGCACAAGTCGTCTTCGGCCAGCAGCTCGCTGAAGCTGGTCAGCAAGCTCATCAACCGGCCGCAGCCCGCGCCCGCCGCCGACCGCGCCGGCATGTCGCAGCTCAGCGAACGGTCAGAACTTAGCAAACACTTAGGGCTATATTTCACCGGGACACCATGGTGGCGCAACTATTTTATTTATTTATTTCCAAGCTTAAGCCTATTTTTAGCGAAATCCAATACAATGGGGATGTTGCCTGGGTCAAAAAGCAAGAGTTTTAATTAGTCCGTCAGTTAACTTATCAAAAAATACTCTACACGTATTTTTCACTTTTTCAAACTAATGAAAATTTAAAGAGATAAAGCCCCCCAAAGTTCATAAGAAGAGGCCCGTGACGTCAACGCTTGCTTAAAAATGCCGCACGTTGTGACGTCGTGCGCAACTTCAACGCACCATAACTATGTAATTATTTGTTAGATTGACAAATAAAAATATATGTGTCCAATATTTTTTGATATTAAACATTACGGACTAAAAAAATTTTTTTAGGCAACTAGCCTATAGTCGCCGGCTACCAACAAAATGTATGCAGCTCTAGAGAGAGTTACTCACCTGGTGTCCGTTTGGTTGCGCAAAGCTGCATACATTTTGTTGGTAGCTGGCGACTGGTTGCGCCGCAATGGTGTCCCAGTGACATATAGCCCTTACGCCCGTATCACAAACATTACTATGTCTCACTCACAGTGCGCGTGGACGCACAGGGTGATACATGAACCAATCATAGAGCTATTCAACGCTGTGCGTTCGATTTGCTGCTTCACTTTAGCAAGTATCGTTTGTGAATACGGGCGTGAATAACTTATTTTTTTTTATGCAAGACAAGGTAGATATTTGATCGCAATCACTCCTGGTGTTAAGTGAGATGCAGTCTAGGATGGTACATATCAGCCCTGTAAGTGCCTATTTACTCTCGCCTTGAAAAGGCCTGGATTATAGTTGTTAAAAGCTGATTGAGTGGACTATATAATATTTCTGAGATAGGCCTGCAGCTGGTACCTAATTATGCAAGAAGCTATTGAGGAATTTATGGAAAACCTCCAAATATACCAAAGACAGTAAAAAAAGTAATTACAAAAAACCAAAAACAATATAAAAAAAAGTTAAAAATAATATCAAAAGAGGATTGCTGGCCAAACTGCCAGCAACAATAGTGTTCAGGAAAGCCAGCAGCAGGCAGCGAATTCCAGTCCCTAGTTGTTGTGTGTTTTGCATTTGTGCGTAAATAACTGTGATCACTCAGTTGTCTTTTTAATGCATTTTTACGCACTTCATGATCATCATCATCATCATCTCACCCATAGGACGTCCACTGCTGAACATAGGCCTCCCCCAATGCTTTCCACGTTACCCGGTTGGTAGCGGCCTGCGTCCAGCGCTTTCCTGCTACCTTTATGATGTCTTCGGTCCACCTTATGGATGACGTTTATACCGCGGCCTCCACTCCAGAACCTTGCTGCCCCATCGGCCAAATGCATTTTTATGTAAAGCCTGGTCCGTGAGCACGTAGAATTTTGGTCCAATGACCCCAAGCTACCCATACCCATCCTTATCGCTCGCGCGTAATTATGTTGCTGTCGCGCTCGCACACTCACTGCGGGCGCCCGTCGCACAGTCATTGGACAAAATTCTACGTGCTCATGGACCTAGCTTTAGTTGTTTTTTGTTTATTCTATTATTTATGGATCTATTGGCAACAGATTGAAGCGTCTGCTCGCCATGGTGGGCAACCCGCACGTGGGCGGCGCCGGCGCCGCGCGCTGCGGCTGCGGACACGTGTGCGCGCTCCGTCGGCCGGCACAGGTAGATAGATAAATAAATCATTTATTTGCATACACTTAACACACATGAAAGAGTAAAGTTGCAGCATAACAATAATAAGACATAGTAAGACACGGGTCTTGTCCAATGATTAACTCCTGTTTCCAGCAGGTGTTCAGCCACGGCGGATTTGCTCGTCTGTCGATTTTTAATAGCTACGATGTGCAAGCCGTGAGTACATAATGTAACTCATTAATAAACGTCGCGTATGTAATAAAGCAGCATTAATTAAATCCTGCGTGCAGTTGCTCGGGCACTCAGGGCACGACATCATGCGCTTTATAGACTGGGGAACAAAACTGCACCTGCACTCCATGTTTGAGCTTCGCGAAAAAAAATCTACTCATCGTCAACAATATGGTGTAATTTAGCTTGTCTCAGAGTTGAGCACCGTTTCGTTTACATACGTCAGTGATGGTACTGTGCCGATGCGATAAGGCTGACTGCTATAAGAAGCTACAGTGTCGCTATCTAGCGCATGACACGCGTATTTTAACTTTTTTGCATAGCGAATTTTTTACAATAGGTGAAGAATACGAGCGCGCGAACGTCACCACTACTCGCTCGTGAATCTTTTGTGGATTAAACCCGCCGGCGGGTACACCGCGCGTGTTTTGTTTTCGATGCCTACTTGGGGAGATGTATAGTGTATAAGCCTGCTAATACTAATTTGCCGATTTGTACAGAGTATTCAACTACATCTTCCACACTAAATAAGACTTATCCCCCTCTCGTTCCCACCGCTGTAACTCCTGTGTAGCCAGGATCTACAGCTTGACTGCCAATAAAAACCCAACCAGTGAAAGTCAAGTTGGAAAAGTTACACAGTAAACACAGCAATCTTCCACACTAGTATTGCTGTGGCGAGGTGTGTGTGACTACAATGAAGTGTGTTCTCTCTATGTATAGTCTGGTCGGCAAGAACGTAGAATTTTGTCTAATGATCCCAAGCTACCCATCCTTATCGCTCGCGCGAAATTATGTTGCTGTCGCAGTCGCACACTCACTCACCCGCCCGTCGCACAGTCGGCAGCAATATAATAACGCGCGAGCGATAAGGATGGGTAGCTTGGGGTCATTGGACAAAATTCTACGTGCTCACAGACCAGGCTTTAAATTTCCTCACAGAAGCAGCAGCCGTGTGGCGCGGCGCCAACGCGGGCTGAGGAGCCGGCGGCGCCGGTGTTCCGGCACCCCACGCCTATCGCGCCCAGACCTGACAACGAGGTAAATTCAATTAATCTTGTTTCATTATAGGATATAGCTGACACTTCACGGCAATTTTCTTATTTTTGTACTGTTAAAACACGACTCCTTTTGTATAGCGTCACTAGTTCGCGAACTCAATTGACTAACTTGATTTCAGAGCTACTAGAAATCGAGTTTTGCAGCCAATAGAACGCTTAGTCGGTTTGAATGAAAATTTTAACGTTTAAACAAGGCTGTCTAGGAACTATTGGTTAATGGTGTGTTACAACTCAATCGTCACGGTAACACTTTCGCTTATAACTAAAAATAAATGAAATCGACTCCAAAAAGTGTGCACTATGAGTATGTGTTATGACCTTGTCACCACAGAAAGCTGGCAGTTCATTGAGATATTGAAAAGTCAGCGTCAAATAGTTTGTAAAACCAAAGTAGCTAAAAAGTTCGCAACTCGTCTTTGTTACTATTTGCATATGGTTGTGTTATAAAGTTATTGACGACTAGCGGCCGCCCGCGACTTCGTACGCGTACTACGCGTGGATCCCGTTTTACCCCCTTAGGGGTGGAGTTTCGTAAAATCCTTTCTTAGCGGATGCCTACGTCATAACATCTACCTGCATGCCAAATTTCAGCCTGATCCGTCCAGTGGTTGGGGCTGTGCATAGATCACTATGTCAATCAGTCAGTCACCTTTGAGTTATAATACACTCGGCATCAAATAAATCGCACCTCCCGCAACAAGCACCTTTCAAACGTATGCATTCCCACTTCCCACCAACATTGGTACCATTTGAAAGCCTAGTTCTAAACTACATTTCATTAAAGGAATGGTTTTTACCCCAAAAATATGTTTTAGGAGGATCCAGAGTCACTTCTTAAAAAAATAGGTAGTTACGCTTGAGCCAACTTTTATGGCTATAAAACTGTTAAGTTTGGATTAATCGCTATCCATCTGTTAAAGAGGACACGTAAGATCATTATTTCGTTTTATAACCATAAAAATTGGTCTAATTGATCCCAGAGGTGAGCCCCAAGTGAGGTCTTTTTTCAAGTCACATTTATGGTATATGTTAATCGTTTATTAAGAAATTAAATGTGTTTTTCTTTAAGGATATTTATTGGGCTTTCAAATAACACCAATATTGTTGGGGCACCATGATTTTGTCAGAAGAAAATCTTTCGCGTCGCGGAAGGTGCGATTTATTTGATATTGAGTATGTTTAGACTTTGGATGTTGCGAACTATTTGACGCTGACTATACAAACACAGTAACCCACCATCATCACACACTTGTTGCAGCTTCAGAAGACGATGAACCTCGCCGGCGTGCCGCGCTGGCGCCGCGGCCGGCCGCGCCTGGCCGACCGAAGAGTTGTAGTGCAAAGACTTCTACCGTTGTTGCCCAAGCTGCCTCCGCCCAACAGTGAGTGAACATCATTATACACTACTCGTCATAGTCAGTCGTCGCTTGCTTCAACAGAGCGAGCCACAGTCTGAGGCGGAGACGCGAAAGAATGTCTAGGCTATCTAGCTCGGACAATAACTCGCAGCTCCCTCCCAAAGACTTCGGGAGGACACCGTCAGGTTTTTTTTTTTTATGCTCGACAAGGCAAGTATTTGATCGCAATCGCACCTGGTGTTAAGTGAGATGCAGTCTAGGATGGTACATATCTGCCCTGTAAGTGCCTATTCACTCTCGCCTTGAAAACGCCCGGATTATAGTGTTCAGGAAATACAGCAGCAGGCAGCGAATTCCAGTCCCTAGCTGTTCGCTTTATGAAGGAGTCGTCGAAACGCTTAGTGCGAGCTGGTGGAATGTCGACAATGTAGGGATGGTACGCTATCCTGCGTCTGGTTCCCCGGTGATGGAAGGGGGCTGGTGGAATTAGGTTGTATAATTCCTTCGCACATTCTCCGAAGTGTAGCCTGTAGAAAACCGTTAGAGAAGCAACTTTACGGCGGTTTTAGTGAGTAGGCCCTGCCCATCTGGCAGGGAGAGCCTCACATAACCCACTGGTTCCCCAAGGCCAGTGGGTATGCAATTACATGCATTTCCTGACGAAAAAAAGGCGAGAATCCACTATTGTGGAGACTGACGACTGACGGCGTGCTCACAACCTAAATTGAATTGTGAGATTTTTTGGAGTGAGATCAGCGCTTCGCTGTCTGCCGAGTGGTGGTGCAGAGACTCTTGCCGCTATTGCCCAAGCTGCCTTCGCCTAACAGTGAGTGAACATCATTATATACTACTCGTCACAGCTCTAGCCAAGCGAGGATCCACTATTGTGGAGACTGTCGGCATGCTCACAACCTAAATTGAATTTTGAGCGAGATCAGCACTTTGCTGTCCGCCGAATTGTAGTGCAAACACTCCTTCCGCTATTGCCCAAGCTGCCTCCGCCTAACAGTGAGTGAATATCATTATACACTACTAGTCACAGCTCTATCCAGGCGAGGATCCACTATTGTGGAGACTGACGGCAAGCTCACAACCTAAGAGTAGTCAACCGCAGAGTCTCGTCGCCGATAGTTTAGTGGGGCAGTTAATCAGTATGGGCATGTATGAGAGTGCGCACACTACGCCGATTCGATTTGGCCGATTCTTCATACAATTTAAAATCGGGCACAACTATCGGCCAACTAAAAATCAACGGTGTGCGCCTACTCTAAACATCACAAAGCTCTTGTATCAACACATCTTGTTACTTTGTTTCAATAGCTTCTCAGAAATGTAACTCCGGCCGGCGTTGAATGTAAACATGTGTCGAACGAACCAAAACAAAGCGATAAGCGCGCGCCCGGTCACTTGAAACCTGACACGCCCGGGCACAACAAGTGGTGGGGGGTCCGGGTATGGAAAGGTTAATGGAAGTTTTTTGCGCGCTTACTAGTGACGACCTTTGATATAAACTCACACTGCGCCCCCTGAACTTAGCCTTAAATCATTGCGTTACATTTGTCGTGGTCAGTTTGGTAGATGATCAAGGCAAGTGTGCGCTGCATTGCTCGCTATGACCGCGTAGAATCTGTAATAATAACATTAATGCAAAATCTTGTTTCAGATCTAATACCAGTCAAGATCGTGCCGAATTCTCCTCCGGCGCCGCCGAAAATATTGCCCAAACCACCGCCCACCTCCACTTCAGAGTGAGTACATAATATAAAAAGCCATGTTTGGTATTTAATGTTTATTAATTAATCGTGATTATAATAGAAGTCCGTCGGTTTATGTCAGTGACTTTAGTTCGTTTACGGATCTCCTCATTTCTGATTCGATCTCGTAAAGAAACACCAAGCATAGCCCTTTCCATAGCACGCTGTGCACCTTTGAGCTTCGTTATGAGGCATATTATTATAGTGAGAGGCCACGTTTCGGAGCCGTGTGTCACTGGTAACACACTATTTATAGACTTTATGAGGTCGTCGGTCCACATTGTGGGTGGACGTCCCACACCGCGTTTCCCGTGCGCGGGGAACAAGCTTCGCGATATACTCACGTCCGAAATACCTCAGAGTCTCAAGACAAAAGTCTTTGACATGTGTGTGCTGCCAGTGATGACATATGGATCAGAAACGTGGTCGCTTACTATGGGCCTCATAAGAAGTCTCAAGGTTACCCAAAGAGCGATGGAGCGGGCTATGCTCGGAGTTTCCCTGTGTGATCGAATCAGAAATGAGGAGATCCGCAGCAGAACCAAATAGGCTTATATTGGAAAAAAATAACATGTTAAGTTTTAAAAAAAATATTGCTATAGTCTGGTCTGTGAGCACGTAGAATTTTGTCCAATGACCCCAAGCTACCCATCCTTATCGCTCGCGGCTAATTATATTGCTGTCGCGCTCGCACACTCACTGCGGGCGCCCGTCGCACAGTCGCGACAGCAATATAATTACGCGCGAGCGATAAGGATGGGTAGCTTGGGGTCATTGGACAAAATTCTACGTGCTCACAGACCGGGCTTTACATTGATTATACTTTCCATTGCTGCAACGCGTGCACTTTTGTCGCAGCCTGTCGTTCTTCTACGTGCTAAGCGAGTCCAACGGGCAGTTCTACTTCCATGACGGAGACCGCCGCATCCCTATCACGCCGCTGCCGAGTGTCGACGCGCCGCCGCAAGGTACATTACATTTTTATTGAAAAACTAGCTTTCCGCCCGCGGCTTCGCCCGTGGGGAATTTCGTTTGTTAAATTTTCCTGAATTTTCTTTGTTATGAACCTCACGGAGCCCGAGACCTTTCCAACGAATGCAAAACCGTGGAAATCGGTTCGTGCGTTCTGGAGTTATAGCGTCAGGAAGGAAACCCCTATTACAACGCTATTACAACTGCATAAGAATCCCACTGTGTTCACATTGATGTTTGGTCGTGTGCTGTGTACATTCATAATACCTAATGTAAGACCCAATGTCTCTTTTATTTTAATTATGACTGTAGGTAGGATTATGATGGAATACGAATATCCGTCTCATCATAACTGATTATTTTATAATCCTGTAAAGGGACGAAACGTAAAAGTAATTTAAAATGACATCTAAGGCTGAAAGAACTTTATTCTTATTACGACCTAACACGACTCTCTTGATGTCAGGTGGTAGTGTGAAATGAATTTTCACACAAGTATGGCTTTCGAAGAAAACATAATCTGAGGAATCAACCAAAGAAGTGGCTTATTGTTGAAAAAACAGATTGCCATGAAACAGAAACATCAAAAAAAAAATTACGGCCTAAATGTCACTTACACGAGAGCATTAAATTAAATTGAAAACCTAACACTCGTGGTTGAAAAACAAAGAAATCAATTACTCGTCCAAAATATTTTTTCCATATACAGGGTGTTGGGTAAATGGGTATATGAGCCGACACTAGCCCATGTTAACATGGGCATGTAAATGGTATGGTGAAGTCAGAAATTTGATATCATCATTTTAATTTTTTAAATATTCAAACAAAATAAATTTTATAAAATCCAATTTGTATGAAAAATAAAATAATTAAAATGAAGATATCAATTTTCTGACTTCACCATACCATTTATATGACCATGTTAACATGGGCTAGTGTCGGCTCATATACCCATTTACCTAACACCCTGTATAAGACTAGTAGTCTATTCATTCATTATCTAGGATCGGCATCAGCTTCATATTTAAAAGAACCTATTTCCAGATGACCCCAGACAAGTTAAGTCCGAGATCCTATCGGCTAAGGCGGACAGTTCGGACGCGACGGACGGCGTCGATTCTACCCCGGACGGCCACCACGAGCCGGAAACTGACCCCAAGGAGTCGACAGAGGGCAAGGAGGCCGATTCTGCTGTCAATGGAGATAGGAAGGAGAGCGCTGATATTGGAAGTAAGTCCTAGAGTCCATTCAAGCTAGCGTTTTTACAGCAGCGTAGTCGCTTGATGAACGTAAGCGTCGCGTTACTCTGGTGTCATTAAATTAATTTAACGAAATATCAAGACGCAGCGACAAGGCGACGTAGATGATGGCAAGTCAGAATTTTAAGATCAGATAGTTTGATAACTCGGTCGAAACGTCAGGCAAATACAGGTAATATTTAAATGTTACCTATGCGCGCATCGCGTTAAAACCTGTTTAAATGAATACAGATAATTTGACTTAGTTCCTTGATTTTCTTCGCCTTGTCTGCTACAGTGCACCGCCAAGTTAGCTGGGGGCGACCACGTTTGCGTTTTCCTTAGGGGTTCCAAACCTGAGCCTTCTTGGAGATGTAATCGGGATCAGAGTGGCCGGTCCAGTTCCACTTGCGGCGCTTGACCTACGCTGTTGCATTTTAATTAATAATAATTTAAATTGCAGACTTCCTGCCATCGGAATCGATGTCGCTATCCCCGTCGCGGCTGCTGCGCGAGACCGAGGGCTGGTTCGAGGGCTCCGTGCAGGACTTCTCGCTCAGCAGCTTCCTCGGCCACCTGGAGGGCCGCGTGCAGCCCGAGCTGGCCGTGAGTGCTCCGTGCATGTCGCGCTGCAGTAGCGTCGCTGTCCCGTCGCGGCTGCTGCGCGAGACCGAGGGCTGGTTCGAGGGCTCCGTGCAGGACTTCTCGCTCAGCAGCTTCCTCGGCCACCTGGAGGGCCGCGTGCAGCCCGAGCTGGCCGTGAGTGCTCCGTGCATGTCGCGCTGCAGTCGCGTCGCTGTCCCGTCGCGGCTGCTGCGCGAGACCGAGGGCTGGTTCGAGGGCTCCGTGCAGGACTTCTCGCTCAGCAGCTTCCTCGGCCACCTGGTGCCCCGGAGCCCTATTAAGAGCGCTTTCACATTTAGGCCACTTTAGCAGTGCGCGACAGACGCGCTGCCGGTAATTTCATACTATAATATGACATTACAAAAACGCTACTGTCGCGCTTCTAACACCCTAATGTGAAAGCGCTCTAATATTGCGGATGTATAATGATCCCGTGTCTGAAGCTTCAACCACAATAGTACCACACCTCAAAGCAATAGCGGAAGGTATCAACGGGACCCGTATAATCTTCGCTTACTCCTGGCGCTTATTAGCTTCATCATCATCGTTTCAGCCGTAGGACGTCTACTGCTGAACATAGACCTCCCCCAATGATTTTCATCCAGCATCCAGCGCCTGCCGTGAGTGCCGAGTTCTCTCGCTGACGTTTGTTTGATGTCAAAAACAACACCGTCCCGTGCCGCTTCCATACCGGTCAGACACGGACCCAGTCTTTTATTTTGCCTTAGAAGCGGACATCCCTGTTTTATTAATTCAATCGTTAGATATTACTATCTATATATATAAAAGAAAGTCGTGTTAGTTACTTCGCTTATAACTCAAGAACGGCTGAACCGATTTAGCTGAAAATTGTCAGGGAGGTAATTTGGAGCCAGGAGAAGGACATAGGATACTTTTTATCCCGTTCGAAATTAAAAAAAAGTCTGCTTTTTTATTGCCATTAAGGCGGAACAAAGTTCGCCGGGTCAGCTAGTTATGTATAAAATTGATAAAGGAACTAGTAGTTGTATTTGCTTAGTTTCGAAGAAATATTCGATATTGTGATTTTATAAAAAAAAAACAGTTTTAGAAGCATATTTTCTAAAAAATGACATTAAGTCAGAATTTTGTAAATAAATTTACCTATCACTATAACGTCTACCTTTATGCAAAAATAAATGGTTATTGCTGCAGTAATTTAAGACTTATTTAATAATTTATGATTTTCAGAAAACATTTTTTTCTCCATTGTCCTAGAAAATTGGCAGCTATATTTACTTTATATTGATGCATGATATAATTCTCTATAATACCTGAAAATATTACTTGCCTATCCTAGGTAAGTGCTAGAGCTATAGTAGCTATTTCTGTCGTATACAGACACATCATAGTAATCGCTATGGTATCTTCCTAGACCTAGTATTCTAAAATACATTACCATTCTGCAGGTGGACTCCCAGCTCCATTCCCTAATGGCCGAGTCGAGTGTGGACTACGTGGCCAAGTTCGCCGACCTCGCCGCCGAGGTCACCGACGAGGTCAACCACCTCAGCGATGACCTCACCTGAGCCTAAGCCCACCGAGCACCCTCGGCCGTCAGCAATAAGGTTCACATTGTGATAATTTTGTAGATCGTTTTACATGGTATTGTTTATGTATCTATTTTATTTTGTACAATGTACTATCGGCAACAGTGTCAGAGTAAATACAAATGAGTAGGTCATCTTCATAGAAACGCACCGAGCGCGGTTTGTATGGCGGTATTGGCGCGCTCCTCCATGCTCCATTGATGACCTACTCATTTGTATTTACTTTCACAGTGTTAACTACCCATTGGCGGTCATGTCGTCTCGTTATATCGCAAATTATCACCATTTGGCGAGAGCAAAAACGGAAATGGATAGTTAACAGTGTGGCCGTGTGTACCAGGGCTTCCCAAACTTGTTTTTATGTGACGACTTTGCGAATTTGCCGATCAAAAAACAAATAAGTTATAAGAAATACGGGACTACTTCCACCTCTCTTACCACTGTTGCAACTCCTGTGTAGCCAGGATCTACAGCTTGACTGCCATAAAAAACCCAAACAATGAAGGTCAAGTTTGTCCAGGGGGTTATATTTTAGCATGTATGTACCTACTGTGTAAAATCTAAAACGTTAAAATAACGGTACGTTATAGCCAATGAGCTTAATTTTGAGTTGCTGTTATAGTGACATTGACATAGTAAAATCAATGTCACACTAGGAACTTAAAAATAGAGGGACGCGCTTTTGTGCTAAGTGATGGAATTGTATTTAAAATGAGGCAATATAATGTGAAAGTTAAGTGACTAGTGTTTTATGAGAATAGATCTACCTGCCTCTAATTCTACTTTAATTTAACATCGCGATTGTGTTTCGATAAATAAAGTTATTTATTATTATTTATTTTCAATCGCCTTACGACGCTTTTGGGATACGAACAGTTTGGGAACCCCTGCACTCCTGCAGTATACAATAACGTAGTTTAGAGTAGATCGACGGTGGACTGTAGCTAGCAATAATGTCGATGTTTACCATATCCGTGTTATTTTATAAGTATGTATTAAGTTTATATTATTTATAGCAATATGACTGTTTTATTACTAATTTGATACTAAGATATTGAAGATGAAATACTTTTTAAACTTCATACTTTAATTAAGTAACGTCACAATAGAAAGTAAATGGAAAAGTGTAATTAAGCATGTGTTTTTTCTGTGCAAAAATGTTTTTTACGTACGGCTGCTCAAAAATTTTAAGATTGGTTTTAATTCGTATTTTTTTAAATAATTTACAATAAAAAGCCGCGTAAGAGTGATATTGTTAATGTTTGGAGAATTTCTCCATATCAAAAATTTACGGTTTTGAATTTATACAAACCAAGTTTTTTCTCAAAAAGATTTACATTATAGAAGTATTAGGTTTTAAGCGTATTATTAATAAAAATATATTTAAATAAAAAGAAATGTTTTGTTCCGTCGTATTATTATCATCTTTACCTATGTGCCCTATTTACATCTAACTAACTGCGACCACGGGAAAACCACATAATAATAAATTACAATAAATACTATCTACGAAGTACTAAAGTCCGATTTTTAATTCGACGGAATTCTGACAGCTGTCTTTTTTTTGACAATTCAGATGTAAGAAACCTTTTTTGCTTTGAACTATTAATAAAAAATATGGAATGAAATTACATCAAGTACAACTTACAAGAATGAATTATTGTTTTTTTTTTGTGCATTCAATGTACCTTAATTATAATGTACATTTTAGAGACTAAATAGAAAAACACAGTAAGACAACATAATTATTTATATTTTCAAAATAATATCAACATAATAAATTATTATTTTGAAAATATTTATTGATCATCATCATCACTTATATCATCATTGTCGTCATCATCATCAACTTGGATTATAAAAGAATCGCACACACTATCCATCAGAACATTAAGAGGGCACATTTTATTTTCTTCTTTAATGACATGGTTAATACATTCTTTCCATTTTTCAGCTGTAATATTATTTATGCCCTCTAACAGTAATGTTTTTACTTCTGCCATCTTGAAACTTTTATTATTTCTTGCCACATGCCCAAAGGGGCATGTGGATAGAATATTAAGAATTAATATGGGGTTAAGCTCACAATGGTAGGAGGTAGTCGGAGTACAGTAATACGAGGGCGGCACTGAAAATTTCGGGAATCAAGGAAGTGAAACAACATTACTATTTAAAAATGTATTTATTGCTTTTTAAAGTATTCTCCGCGAAATTTGACACATTTTTCCATACACGAAACCAATCATTGAAGCAACCATTGCATTCGGAAGTTTGGGTCTCCAAAATGGCTGTAGGCTTCCACAGCTTCTTCAGGTGATGAAAATCTCTGACCACGCAATTTATTCTTTATTTTAGGGAAAGTATAGAAATCATTAGGGCTTAGGTCAGGGCTGTACGGCGGATGGACTAATAATTCTATGTTTTCTTGCTCTAAAAACTCTTTTGTTCAGTGCGCGGTGTGAGAACTCGCATTGTCGTGATGGAGGATGATGCGGCGGTTGCAGTTCTCTTTACGGAGTTCAGAAACGACCTGTGGCAAACAAATGCTAGCATACTAATCTGCATTAACCGTTCTTTGTCCCCCAAGAGGAATAGTCGCAACATGGCCGGTTTTGGAGACAAACGTGGCCACCATTTTTTTTGCAACACTCCGTGAACGAACAATTTTTGTTGGCTTTAATTCATTTTCGAACACCCAAACTCGTGACTGGTTTTTTGTTTCGGGTTCGTACGCGTATATCCATGATTCGTCACCTGATACGATGTTGTATACAGCATTTGAGGATCCTGCATGTAATCTCCCGAGAGTTCTGACGCACCAAGTAACGCGAGCCGCTTTTTGCTCTTCACAGAGCGAATGCGGTATCCATCGGGAAAACAACTTTTTTACACCTAATTGTTCATGCAAGATTATTTGTATTTGACTCATGCCAATGTCTAAAGTTGCCTGAATTTCGCGGTATATCACATGTCGATCTTCTTCAATCAGCTTACGCACAGCATCAACGTTTTCTTAGGTGACTGCAGTTTTTGGACGACCTTGACGGGGATCATCACTGAGCTTGACACGTCCACGTTGAAATTCAGGAAACCAGCGATAAATTGTGGTTTTGGATGGGGCTTCATTACCAAATGCAGAAATCATCCGGTCAACACACTGTTTTTGTGTTAAACCACTTCAAAAGTCATAATAAATCATCGCTCTTGAATTTTCTCGAGTCAATTCCATTTTCTCAACAACTAAACAAGTTTGACTAGACCTTGTGATACGACCGAGAATCTTTTTTTAAATAAATAAATGGTATACGATTTTTAAAACCCTGGAGTTTGCAATTAAATAGATTTTAATATGACTGGAACAGTGGAAATATTCCATTCCCGATACTTTTAGTGCAGCCCTCGTACCATGAGCGGCAGCCATCTCATCTACAACGCATTGTAAGTATTTATGTTTTTCACGCTGTACAATATCTAATTAATTGGCCTTTATCATGTTTTCACTAAAATCTAAATTTTTTGTTTTTAACCAATTTTGAATATCCAATTTTTGCCATGCTGTTGTAGGCATTTTCTCCACTCTCCTGAGTGATACGGTGCATTGTCCATGACAAGTACCGAATTTGGTTTCAATTTAGGCAGTATTTGTCCAAACCACTCCTCAAATACTTCCGCAGTCATTTGTTTGTGGTAATCAACTGTTCCCTTATTCGACTCAAAAATCAATAAACTGTCATTTAAAAATCCTTCTTCACTGCCTTAATTAATCTCCTTCCTTTTCCTGTAGGAGTCTTTAGACCTGGTAGTAGGCCCTCAAGAAAGAAGACTATTGAAGTATCAACCCATGCTTTGTTCACGGCCCTCATTAACCCATGTCTCGTCTTGATAGTAAATAAATCTTCCTTCTCTTCGGTATTCCTTTATTTGGTGTAAATATTTTTGACGCCATAATATTATGTCATTACTGTCCATCGGTGCACTTCGTCGTTTTCTGCTGGCATATTTGAATTTTAAGTGCTATAACACTTTTCTTCTTATAGGCTTTGACATAACGGGCATATCTTGATCTTCACCTATTACTTTGTAGATCTGAAATAAACATTTACATTACTTTATACTGCTGGCTGTACCTATATGTGTAGGTACTTAATAAATAAATAAAAGAGAAGTAAATAAAGTAGCATTATAATTACCTTTTCAATAGTTGGAGCCTCTTTTCTGTAAAAAAAGTCGTGAACTTTTCGGAGAATTGCAGTACAATTGAATTCGTCAGAATTATCTTTAAAAGATAATCTTGGGCCAAATAACCATTTTGAAATGATCAGTCCATTTATAAGCCTTAGTTTTTCAAGTGAAACCTTAAATTCAAGAAAGGATTATTTTTTAATTTGTGAAAATGCTCTCCATTCGCAGTGGGATAGTTTCAATGTTGGCAACACTTCTGAAATGTCAAAATTCCGTCGAATTAAAAATCAGAGTATAGCTTTCAGCCGGCGGCTTCGCCCGCGTGAAAAAAGGGCCGCGTGAAAAATTATTTTTAGAGTTTTCCCACAAACTATTCGAATTTTTCTCGCCGTAAAACCCATCCGTGGATTTCAACGAACATTTGAAAAAAAAATGGTCCAGGCGTTGTTGTGTGCGTGATGCGCTTACCAGCAAATTTTGCGATTCATTTTTACATTAAAAAGTATTGTAACTCGGCCGTATTTTTGAAATAAATGCCTACAGCTGTGCGGTATGTCACGGTTAGTTATGTACAATAAAAAAAAACTTAGCACCGTTGTTTTTTTTTCTAAATTTGTTTTTTTTTCTGCCTTTATCCCAAAAGTCATCGCTTTACATCAATCTTTTCAATGTGCTGATTTTATTCAAAGCATCTGATAGACCCTCATCAATGGCGATAGCTCTAATAGTTTGTTTGTTTTCTTTTAAACTTTCAAAGTAACAAACAAGGGAGTTTTTACTGGAAGTTTAAGACTTATTTGGACGCCGGTGGTTGATTGTTTTTCTATGAAAGCTGAGTGTTAAGGCTGTGAGAATTCTTAATGGCCTTAATACAAAATTTTCTCAAAATGTATCATTTTTTTATTATTTGTTGCCATTTTCTGAGTATTTTATGTACTTTTTTACTATCGCATCTTATTTAGCATTATTACTGTTTTTATTTTATCAGGATATACCTCTTAGTTTAAAAGTTATTATTACGTTTTCTTTACAATCTGTAATTGGAAGAAAAAAAATTCTATAAAAAATATAAAGGACAATGGGCAAAATGGTACCCGGCTCCAATAGATATGTGTCTAGTA